GATGTACCCAGTCTATTTTAATAATACTTACTCACAAAAAGCAAAATTTTGACCCTTTATTGGCTACAAATAGCTAATTGGCTAATATTAGTAATATTTTATGAATTGATCAATTTATATAATAAGCTACTTATAAATGGATATAGCTAGAAGTTTCCCTGTGTTTTATTTAGGCTTGGACAATTTATAATTGGTATTGCTGGTTGTTACTGCTTTCTTTTTTTTTTTCTTTAGCCGGGGATCTATCGGAAACAGTCTCTCTACCCTTAAGATAGAGGTAAGGTTTGTGTACACATTACCATTTCCAGACCCCACTCGTGAGATTATACTGGGTTTGTTGTTGTTGTTGTAGGCTTGGACAATTATTCACGGGGAAGTATACAAATAATCCTCAAAATGGATAGTGTTGAATTTTTGTCCCCGCTTAAACTTCAAGTTTAACAAGTATAGTCCCTTACTTTCCTCATGGGTAATACTTGTAACTTTTGACCTTAAAGTTCTGCCCGTGGGGCAAGCGGACGTCAAAAGTTAGAGATCACGCAAATAATATCATATTTTAATAATTTTTTGGTTACGCACACACTAATTATCCTGTTGGTCATGTTCTAACTTTTATTAGTACAATATGTGAGATAATTGTACGAAATTGAGAGAAAAAAATTGGATTTGAAGAACCAATCTCTCGTGTGTTCTTTTACATTGAGCTTTGTACATGTATATATATTATACACTTAACATATATATTTATTCCTCCCACATTAACCCACTAACTTATGTCTCCTTATATTATAATCATCTTACTAACCCCACTAATTTATGTCCCCTAATCCATTAATTATGTCCCCCTATATTTTAATCACATACACATAATATGCACGACATTCTTCACCCTCCTTCTTCTTCTTCACCCTTCTTCTCTATCTCTAAGTAAATCTTCACAGATTGTTAGAATTAGGATATGGTTTCTGGTTTCTTCTTCCCAACATCCCCCCTCAAGTTGGAGGGTAACTTTGTGACCCCTAACTTGCTCAAAATCTCGGAGTGAGAAATCCCAGAAAGTGTCTTTGTGAAGAGATCCGCCAGTTGGTATTTAGATGGAACAAAAGAAAGAGTAATTAAACCAGAAAGGAACTGTTGACGCACAAAATGACAGTCAATTTCTACATGTTTTGTGTGTTCCTGAAAGACAGGGTCACGGGCGATATGAATGGCTGTCTTGCTGTCAGAGTGAAGAGGTATGGGAAGACGTACTGGTGCAGAGAGATCTTCAAGAAGTCTAACTAACCATGTAAGTTCTGCAGTTACTCTTCTCATCGATCTGTATTCTGCCTCTACAGAAGATAGAGAGATTGACACTTGTTTCTTTGATTTCCAGGAGATGGGTGCTCCTCCTAGTGTGATGAAAAATCCACTTACGGACCTCCTAGAATCCTTGCAAGAGGCCCAATCAGCATCGCAAAATGCAAGCAAGGAGAATGAGTGTTTTGCTGAGAGAAGAATTCCTTGTCCTGGATCACAGCTCAAATATTTGAGCACTCGTAAGGCAGTAGAGAAATGAGACTTACATGGTCTCTGCATGTACTGACTGAGGGTAAGGACTGCGAAAGAAAGGTTAGGGCGAGTGTTAGTGAGATAGTTCAACTTGCCAACCAGATGACGAAATACTGTTGGATATTATAAAGGGTGCCCATCATCAGCTTGAAGCTTGGAGGAAGGATCAAGAGGAGAACTGACTTGTGGCAAATAAAATATATCAAATTTCCTCCAGCATATCTAGGGTAAATCTCCTTTGGCTTACAATAAAACCTTCATTTTCTCGTAGAATTTCTATCCCTAAAAAATAATGCATGTCTCCTAGATTTTTTACCTTGAATTCACTGTTTAGAAAACCCTTGATATGCTGAATTTCTTCCAAGTCCTCTCCAGTAAGCAGTATGTCATCTACATAGACAGCTAGGATAGAAATCAGGTTTCATGTCCGTTTAAAAAATAGTGAGTAATCGTTTAATGATGAAGAATACCCTTTAAAACTCAAAGCTCCTGCAATCCTAGCATACCATTGCCCGGAAGTTTGTTTTAAACCATACAATGACTTCCTTAGTAAACAAACATGCTTAGGACTAGGAGGTGTTAAGCCTGCTGAAAACCTCATGTACACCTCCTCTTGTAGATCCCCATGCAAAAATGCATTGTTGACATCTAATTGGCACACATTCCAATCTCTTTTGGCTGCAATAGTGAGTAAACACCTTATGGTTGTCATTTTCACCACTGGTGAAAAAGTCTCACTATAATCTATTCCTTCTCTTTGGACATCCCCCCTGACCACCAGCCTTGCCTTCAACCTTTCAATTCTTCCATCCGACAAATATTTTACCTTGTACACCCATTTGCAAGGTAGAGACTTGTTTCCTTTAGGTAATTCAACCACATCCCATGTGTGGTTGTCTTCTAGAGCTGTAAGCTTTGAATTCATAGCTTCTATCCAACATGGATGTTGACAAGCCTATCCAAAACTATTAGGTTCTGTGAGAGTAGAGAGGGATTGCAACACATGTTGATTATTGGGTGACAGAGAAAAGAAATAGAATTCCCTAGGCTTACTTGGTTGAGTGAAACAAGTTGTTGCTACATTTGTGAACATGATATTACTGCATACATAATCTTTCAAGTAGGTTGGTTGATTGGAAACTCTTCCTGACTTTCTCAATGGTGTAGGTTGCTTGGGTATAGAAACATGTGAGGTAGTGTGTGGTGTATCTAGGATAGATTGAAAAGGAATTGGGCTAGTAGACAATTGGTGATGAGAGGGAGTGTATGAAGAACTTAGTGATGGTAAGGAGAAAATATCACAAACTTCAGGTTCTAAAGAGATGGGTGAGGATTGATTCTGTGATGAAGGTGAATATGTAGGTTCTGTAGTAAATATTGAGCTTAGGAATATAGGATGTTGTGATGTGCTGGTTTCAATAAAAGGGAAGTGTGATTCATGAAATTTCATATCCCTTGACACAAATACTCTTCCTATGGACAATTCCAATAGCTTATATCCTTTCTGATGAAGCGGATAACCAAGCAAAACACAAGCAGTTGCCCTATCATCTAACTTGCCTCTTCCATGGGCTATTGTAGAAGCATAACAGAGGGATCCAAAATTCCTTAAATGATCATACTTGGGTTTCTCTTGAAATAAAACCTCATATGATGTGTTTCCTTTAAGGACACTAGAAGGCATCCCATTAATAAGATGTGTGGCAGTTAAGATAGATTCACCCCAATATGACATGTGTAGCTTGGATTGAAACATTAACCCTCTTGCAATCTCTAAGAGGTATCTATGCTTCCTTTCAACAATTCCATTCTGTTGAGGGGTTGCTATACAAGACAGTTGGTGTAGAATTTCTTCTGAAGATAGGAAAGTTGCCTCTTGTGTACCTTTTCCCAGTTCTAATGCATTGTCAGATCTTATCATTCTGACTTTCACATTGAATTGCCTTTCAACCATAGACAAAATATTTAAGCATAGGAAAAGCATTGCTTTTTGCACTTAATAAAAATGTCCATGTTCCTCTACTATAGTCATCTACTACAGTAAGGAAATATCTAAATCCATTGTAAGTATTTGACTTATAAGGTCCCCATGTGTCTACATGTATAAGTTCAAATATATGTTTGGATTTTATGCTACTGACAGGAAAAGGATTCCTGGTTTGCTTAACCCTATGACAAACATCACAGATAAACTCAGAATTTGACTTACAATGAAGAAAATCTAAATGTTTCATTGCTGAAAATGGAAGGTGTCCCAATCTTACATACCAAAGTTTAACATCAGGAGTACCATTAACTTGAAGTGGACTAGAAAAAGAAACAGAGTGTCCTAATCTTACATGCCAAAGTTTAACATCAGGAGTACCATTAACTTGAAGTGGACTAGAAAAAGAAACAGAGTGTCCTAATCTTACATGCCAAAGTTTAACATCAGGAGTACCATTCACTTGAACTGGACTAGAAAAAGAAACAGAGTGTCTCAATCTTACATGCCAAAGTTTAACATCAGGAGTACCATTAACTTAAACTTGACTAGAAAAAGAAACAGACTTTAAAACGTGATTTCTTTCTTTTGGAATTGAAGGTACATTACTACTGAATAACCCCTTAGACTTAAGGCTACTTGGTTCCAATAAGTAGAGTCCCTCTCTAACTTCACCAAAAACTTGTGGACTCTTCATTAAAAGGCCCTGCAACACACACCCAATAGATGTGAATATGACATCATACTTGAACTGAATACAAAACCTATTAACTGATAATAAGTTATATTTGAAATCTGAAACATGTAACACATTGTTCAGGATATGACCTGGCAGAATAGAAATACTCCCTATATGAGTAACAATCACCTTGAAAGAGTTAAGTAAACTGATATTCAAAGGTACAGGAAGTGGAGTTAGAAACATGAAAGAATTAGGATCAAAACACATATGCTCTGAGGCACCTGAATCAATGATCCAGGTTTCTAATTTTAGACTAGTAAACACTGAACCTGAGTATTTTAGAATAGTACCAGCAACTGCATTAGCATTGATTCCTGTATTTCATGCCTGTGCTAACTTTGTCTGCTTATACATGTGCATCATTTCTGCAATTTATTCCTTACTGAGTTGCTGTCCAAAATTACTGTTGTTGAGCTCAGTGCTTTGTCCTGCTGAATTCTCACGTTCATCATGTGTTAGGACTGTATTTCCTTTAATTTGAGTTTGATTACCTTTGTGATTGGTGAACTTAAAATCTTCTGGAAATCCAATAATTCTATATCAATCCTCTTGTGTATGTCATATTTTTCTACAATAAGTACAAAACACATTTGGATTGTACTTCTTTTTCCCTTTAAACCTTTGCTGAAATTTAACAAACTTTTGCCCTGAGTTATTATATTTGGGTGATATGGTTGCTCCTCTTTGTGTTTGGCTTCTAAATTTTTGATAATTCTTCCCTTGTCATGTGATCATAAAAGCTGCAAAATCAGCTAGAAGTTGTGCATTAGGCTGCTTGGCCTCTCCAGTTGCCATGACTGATACTGAATCAGAATTAAAATGTGCATTTGCATAAACTTCTCTTTGATTTTCATCTTGCAAGAGAAGTGAATAAGCAATATCCATTCTAGGCAAAGGGTTTATCATGAGGATATTTCCTCTTGCTTGTGCATAGATGTCATTTAATCCCATTAGAAATTTGATCAATCTCTGATCCTCAAGAAACTTAGTCAACTTTGCCTTTCCTTCACAAACACAAACACATGAGCAACATATGATAACATTTAAAGCATTTAATTCATCCCACAGTCGTTTGAGCTTAGTGAAGTATGCTTCAATATCACTGTTTTTCCCTGTACTAAACCTGATAACTCCTTCTGCAGATGATAAAGCTTGGCTCCATTTGATCTCCCAAATCTCTGCTCCAAGCTGTCCCAAAGTTCTTTTGCAGCTTTGGAGTATATCACATTGTCTGCAATATCCTTTGAGAGAGCATTTAGGATCCAAGAGATGACCATGTCATTCACACAACTCCATTGTTCATGGTCTGGAGATAGACATGCTCCATTGATGAAACCAAGTTTCTTCTTGGCTAACAAAGACAGGAGAATAGATCTCCTCCACCCTGGGTATCCTCTTCCATTAAACATAGTGTTGATTAGAGTCATTCCAGGTGAATCAGAGTTGTTGAGATGATAAGGGTGATTGACATCATAGCTGACTGGTTTTGCAGCATTGTTCGTATCACCCGTATACGTGATGGTTGTTTCAGACATTTTAGGTTATTGATTATGATGATGAATCTGATGTAAATTGACTTGATGGTTGGACTGTTGGATCGAACTTATTGCTCTGATACCATGTACGAAATTGAGAGAAAAAAATCTGATTTGAAGAACCAATCTCCCGTGTGTTCTTTTACATTAAGCTTTTGTACATGTATATATTATACACTTAACATATATATTTATTCCTCCCACACTAACCCACTAACCTATGTCTCCTTATATTATAATCATCTTACCAACCCCATTAATTTATGTCCCCTAACCCATTAATTATGTCCCCCTATATTCTAATCACATACACATAATATGCACGACATTCTTCACCCTTCTTCTTCTTCTTCTTCTTCTTCTTCTTCTTCTTCACCCCTCTTCTCTATCTCTAAGTAAATCTCCACGGATTGTTAGAATTAGGATATGATTTCTGGTTTTTTCTTCCCAATAATAATTCTAACTACCAAAGCTTAAATCTCAATATGTATGTATGAGAGTCGTTTAATTTTTTCTTTTGCAAAACCCACCTAAGTTCAAAAGCTCTAGGTAAGTTAATATGTTAATAGTACGCGGAGTTGTTATATTTTAAAGTCTTAGCCTTTCAAAAATGGAAGTCGAAGAAGTATGAAGCTTTACAACTTCATTTGCTCAAATCAAAATTCTCGAATTACAGATATAGACCTCGAATTATTTTGAAGACAATGAAATTCGAATGATATGATTTGTATGTTGTAATAAATGGATATAATTAAAAGCAAAAAAAATCATTGTTTGTAAATGTAATTAAAGGCAATAAATACTATTAATCAAATTAAACTATATCACAAACCATGAATTAAATGATGTTGACAATGCATGGAAAATACATAAAAGTATGGCTAAATTTCTTAGTTAAAATTAATTGATTATAGTAAGTCAATAAATGACAAGAAAAAATGTACTAATTATCTGTTCTAAAGAATTCCCTATTATGAGAATTTTTTTATAACACACTCTATCCCTCTTATTTGTCTCTTTTGCTACTATTTTCTTTTTCCCCACAGTTTAGGAAAGAAATTATGGGAATTCATGCTTTTTTTGTTCAAATAATCACCGAGAGAATTACAAGATTCCAAGTGTCGTATATATATTGTTTTTTTTATGTAGAAGATAGTTCAGGAAAAAATCGCTGACACTATTTTGAAACATAAAAATAAATATACGAAAACACAATAAAAAAGGTATCTAGCAAGGGAAAATAAGAATATACATACTTTTTCCTCTTTGATGGTAGCTTTCGGATTACAGTCAAACCTCTCTATAACAACCTCATTTGTTCCGAATATTTTTGGATATTATAGCGAAGTGCTGTTATAGAGAACATATATTATAACATAACATGAGAATTGGTTCCGGAAAAACTTAACTTATATAGTGAAGTGTTGTTATACAGTGATGTTATAGAGAAGCTGATAATTGAACAACAAAAAATTGATCTCATCAAAAAACTTATTTTTAATGACATTTAACAGTCAAACTAAAGCACGGAAACTTCTAAAGACTTCTCTGTCTAGTCTTTTATAGAACCAAAGCGGAGGTAATAAACCAGTATTTTATTTTTCATTTAATAAGGACTTATAGTTGGAATATCCATAAACACATAATTGACCCTAATATTTTTGTAGTTTCAGTACTTCTATATACAAAATAGATATATTAAAATAGTTAATAATGGGAAGAAAAAAAAAAGTATCATTGCTATGCTGATCAACAGCCGACTGAAAAAGTTATCCCAGAATTGGAAAAAATGACTGTTTAATTGGGAATTTCCTTTTTAAGCAAGTCCAGAATCTCATAAAATCTTCTTCGTCTTCCCTTTTTTTCTCTTCTTATAACGGTTGTCTCCGGGCTAACTTATGCATGCCTTAATTATTTTATCAAGCACCTGCTACTTCCGATCAACACAACACAGATATGATTTATCTTTTTCCCAATGCTAATAAGTTGTTTTCAAATTGGAAAAAAACTCACTGTTCAAGGGCAGTACCCATTGAAGTTGTGGCCGGTGGGGAAGCACAAATCTCGACTTCAAAGACTATGATTCAGTTCCTAACTTATCAAACCTGAAGTTGCTTCAGAAACTAGCTCATACATACTCTCTATCGTGGGCGAAGTTATGTTGGAATTGACCACCCTTAGTCGAAAAATTATACCACGTATAAGATAAAATATTACTTGTTATTGATTAAAAATAGACTTTGAACACTCTTACATAACCCATTGACAAAGGATACCCTTAGTGAATTTCCTGGTTTCGCCACTACTCTCTATGCAGATAACCTGATAGAACGATAATAATCTCTTTCAACCTCCAGTAACCATAGGGATTCATGGCATGTTTAGCTTAAAATTAACAGCTATATAGATGAACAATTAGGAATGCAAAATTTGGTATACAAGTATAGAATAAGACCACAAAGGAATGGCACAAGGTAGGTTATCACCGCTGAAAATAGAGAAATTACTTCAAAGCGCTTCTTTCATTAATGTGTCCTAAGCAGCACGAATTCAGATTAATCGGCCAATTCATTCCAACTACGGAATGTTAGCAAAAAAGAAGTACAGAATAAGGGTTTATCCTACGCACAAAGTGCATCTCAACTAGTGCGGGAAAGAGGGGAAGAGTGGGCATATTGCTTCTCTTTACTTTTTCACAAAGAGCTGTATCTACGCCTTAAGCCACAATTAGGCTCCCACCATTCAAAACAATATAATAAATAACACATCTGGTCTTCGCAACTAGTAACAACAATGAAAATCAGTCAAAAAGGGGCATTTGGAAAATAATTAAGCCCAGAAAAGATAAAGCATAAAGTGTTATAAAATAAAGACGGTAAAGTAAAGAAATCGAATACAAGTATAGAGAGAGATTGATATATTATTCAACTTCAAACTCATGTACATAATAAACTGAATTCTCCTCTATTTATAGAAGAAAGAAAGTTATTGTGTAAGCTGCTACTGCAAACTGCTGTGTAAGCTGTTGTGCAAGCTGCTTGTAAGCTGCTACTCTAAGTTAATGTGTAAGCTGTTGTGTAAGCTGCTTGTAAACTGCTACTATACCAAATATAGATAATCTTTTACTAGAGGTAATATTTATCCATAACGGATTACCGAAAGGATAAGCTTCTTCAGGAGGCTTATTTCCAATAGAGTACTAAATAGATAAACATATTTACGGTAGAGTCAAGCTTATTTACAACGGAGTACTAAATGAACATCCATAATATAATATATTTATAACACTCCCCCTTGGATGTTCATTAAAAGATATTGTGCCTCGTTAAAACCTTACTAGGAAAAACCCAGTGGAAAAAAATCCTAGTGAAGGAAAAAGAGTACACATATTTAGTAATACGCAATTCTAGCTGCCTCATTAAAAACCTTATAAGAAAAACCCATGGGAAAAACCTTAGTAAGGAAAAAAGAGTACAACGCGTATTTCACTCCCCCTGATGAAAACCTTGTTCCAAATATTTGAGCTTCCGCATTCCAATCTTATATACCATCTTCTTAAAAGTTGAAGTTGGCAAAGTGAACAAATCTGTTGGATTGTCCCTTGAACGAATTTATTGCACATCGATGTCACCATTTTTCTGAAGATCATGTATGTAGAATAATTTTAGTGAAATGTGTTTCGTTCTAGCTTCTTTTATAAATCATCCCTTTAATTGGGTTATGTATGTAGCATTGTCTTCGTATAATATTGTTGGTTTTTTATCACATTTCAACCCACATTTTTCTCGAATAAAATGAACTACTGATCTCAACCATACGCATTCTCTACTTGCTTCATGAATAGCTATTATCTCAGCATGATTTGAAGAAATAGCAGCAATAGATTGCTTTGTGAAGCGCCATGATATGACAATACCTCCACATGTAAATACATACCCGATTTGAGATCGAGCTTTATGGGGATCGGATAAATAACCTGCATCTGCATAACCAATACGATCTGCACCACCTTTGTTAGCATTAGCAAGATACATAAGTGCACCAATTAGCAAGATACATAAGTGCACCAATTGCACTGAGATAGAGTATTTCAGGACCAAGGAGTTCCTCATCCTCTTCTTGAGTTCGGAACGGATCCTTACTCACTTCAAGTGATAGAACACCCATTGGTCTACTTAATGGGTGCGCTTTGTCCATGTAAAAGCTTAAAGACCCTTTCTATATAGGCAGATTGATGGATAAAGATCTCGTTTGCTAAATATTCAATTTGCAGACCAAGACAAAATTTTACTTTTCCAAGATCTTTCATCTCAAATTCTTTCTTAAGATATTCAATTTGCCTTTTGGAGCTCTTCTGGAGTTCCAACAAGATTTATGTCATCAACATAAACAACAAGTATAACAAATTCTGATGTCATTTTCTTTATAAAAATACATGGACAAATAACATCATTTATGTAACCTTCTTTCAGCAAATATGCACTGAGGCGATTATATCACATGCGCCCAGATTGATTTAAACCGTACAAAGATCTTTGTAATCTGATTGAGTACATTTCACGATACTTTGAACTATATGCTTCGGGCATTTTAAATCCTCCAGGGATCTTTATATAGACTTAATAAAATGAGACATATAGGTTATGACTTGCATTTAGAAGGCATGACATCTTCAAATGTCTGGACTACAGGTCTGACCCTCACAATCTTTTATAATATTGTGAACTATATTGTATCAAATATATCGTCGACGATCATTTTGTATCGGTTCCTAAGCGACATAACTTGTTGAGATCTCATCACTTTCTTTATTTTCAGGTACCTCAACTTCGTCTGGAGTTTCATGAAATGTTATTTCGTGGGCTCTTCTAGAGCTCGTTTCCTCCTCATTATGATCATTTTAATCATTTGCTCCTATCATTTTTCAAGAATTGTTACCTTGGGAATCGATCGATTTACTACGCTTCATGCGTACATTAAACTTTATCCTTCGGGGACTT